CTCTCTCTGACTCTTCCCCCCTCCCTCCTCACTCTCTCTTCTTTTCCTTCTTATTTTCTGTCTGTCTTTTTTTCTTTCTGTTCCAGTAGTTTTTATTGGGATTTTAACACCAATAAGTATAATCACATAATAAATACACAAAAAAAGTGTGTACAATAAATTGGTTTACATTGCAGAATAGGCATGAACCAGTATTGTAGAGAGAAAAAACTTGGCAGGCAATTAAATTCCATGAGTACCAGATTTGAGAGTATGTTGAGTTGTATCGAGATGTTTGGTAACGATAATGTTTGCCTCAAAGATTCTCCAGTATTTTTTCTGCGAGTTGAGCGACAGCACATAGCTCAGATGAGCATGGACACGAGAATAATCTGAGTGAATAAGAGGGAAAGCAGAGGGGAAGAAAAGAGTGGGGGAGAAGTGTAGGGAGTAGATTGTTAGAAGAAGGGAAGCATTCAGTTCCTTGTAGTACATATAGTTCTTAAATGGTTAGAAGTGTTTGGTCATTGTCTGCCGGCAAGCTGTGTGTTATCTAGGGTGCCCGTCATTTTTAGAAATGTGAAATTCGGTCGATCACAATTTTTGCGATTCATGCCTATAATTCAGAATTGGCCTTCTTCAATGTGGCCCAACATAACATGACCAGACTGTTCTCTTTTATGTTCCAGTTGGATGTGCTATTCGGCAATCTGGTAGAGATGGTGGAATTTCAGGTTGAATTTCTGAAAACGTTAGAAGACGGGGTCAGGCTGGTACCAGACCTGGAAAAGCTGGAGAAAGTCGATCAATTCAAGGTATGCATTTCCTAAATCATCCAATGTCTAAATATTCTGAAAATACAAGAATGCAAAAGAACTATTAATTAAGTACATACACATACTCCATGTACTTGCAAACACACTGCTTGTTAATTAATTAATGTATATGTAAAGGCAAAAAGGTGTTTTTATTAGTTTTTTTTAAGAGTTGAAAAGAGTTCGGCCCCTTGTCATGTATTTATTGCTGTGTGATCATTGGAAAGATTAACCTTCTGTGTCCTGAAGACCATTGTCTCTGAAACAGAAAGTGATGGGAAAGCCAAACTTTTAGAGTGGTCACCAGAGGAAGAAGTGAGGAGGAATCCTCTAACTGGGAGTTCTGCTCACTCAGAGATTTCCTCTCATTTCCTGTTGCATCTCCAGGACAGGAAGTGAGGGGTCCCTGGAGAAGGGGCTAAAATAAAATTGGAATTAGCTGATCTTTCCTGATTAGAGGTTGGGGTCAGGTGTCCGGGTGGAGCTGCATGGGTTGGATTGCAAGGGCTGAGGAGCGTTCTTTCCAGAAAGTCGACAGAGGAAGCAGGTTGTCCCACCCCGCCCTCCCTTCATTTTCGTGGTTTCTGGTGGTTACAATGTCCTTTTTTTATGTCACAGCAGCTTGGCGGGTTAGTGGGTCTTTGTGGGGGTCTGAAACTCTGAGTCTGTTACACACATGGGGGGGGGCGGCATCAGCTGGTATGGGTGCTTTACCCTGTTGGTGTCTGTATTTGTCGGGGGGCCTGGCTCCTCAGAACTTGGGAGCAGTAACTTTCCTCGAGCTGGATGGGGTGCAGCTGGGGACATGGGAGCAGTTTGTAGGAGAGGCCTTATTTGGGCTCCCAAAGACCCCTTCTCAGATCAAACAGTCCTTAAGATTATTGTATATTGTATTACTTTGGTTACTGTTAACGTTGGTTTGGTTAATAAAAGGGCTGCTGTGGCCATTTAAATCCATGTCGCGCAGTCTGTGTGTTTGTTGGGGTTTTTAACAGAGGGACGTAATCGATGAATCCATCAGTCATGTATCTTATTTATGTATCACTCGGCTGTAGTTCCTCAAATCATCTCTGAATTGGTGGTGACACTGTCCTTCCTTCTGGAGGGGGGCTACTTTTGTTCTTCAGGGTCCATGTGTGTGTTGTAAAGTAGCCATCACTCCGAGTTCACTCTTGTGATAGACTATAACTTCAATACAAATTTGCTAACTAAACATGCGATTGTAGTCCATCACTGGAGTGAGCTTGGAGCGGTGACTATGTTACAACACACACAGGGACCATGGGGAACAAAAGTAGCCCCCCTCCAGAAGGAAGGACAGTGTCAGCACCAATTCAGAGATGATTTGAGGATCTACAGCCGAGTGATACACAAATACGATACATTTTTGTTAATAGTTAATGTACTTGAGTGCATTTTTAAGGTTTAACTCCTGAGTTTAGTGTCACTTTAAATTGTGTACCTCATTGTAACCGCTGCCGCACAATGCATAAATGTGTTACTTTGCAGTGCAGTTCCAACAATGCACTTTTTGTGTAGAGATTGTATTTTTTCCATCGTGATGGGTTGAATTCTGACCAAATGGGACCTCATTTGTGTGGCTGTTTATACAGTTACTTCTGGTTTCCCCACCTATCTACTTCCAAGCTGCATCAATGATTGTGGGTGTCTGGATTAGGTCAGCTAAATAATTGATCTAATTATCTGATGCACATTTGTAAAGCACACTGCTAAGCTTTATAAAGGTGCTGTATTTTTTAAAAAGCATTGCTGTGGCCATGGAAAGGCTGTTTATGATCGGCCCCCTGAGACATATGTAAAAATACAGTGACTTGTTAAACTACATGATGCTCCTTTTTGTAATTCACACTAACGTGTTTATGTCTTCTGTCCAATAGAAAGTCCTATTTTCTCTGGGTGGATCTTTTCTATATTACGCTGATCGATTCAAGTTGTACAGTGCCTTCTGCGCCAGTCACACCAAGGTCCCAAAAGTTTTAGTGAAAGGTAAGAAGCTTTAGGTATGACCTTGAACAAAGCTAGTCCTTGGTAATTACATCTACATTATAGAGCTTGTGTTGGCATTGCCTACATCATCCAATCCATTTTTTCCCTTCATTAGTTTTCGGAAAACTAAAAATTTGAGAGGGAGCAGCAAATTTGTTTCTATGGGAAACAATGTCCATTCCTTTATACTGGGATCAGAAACTTGCCACTCGAGCCAGTAATATTAGTGGTTAAAGTACACCTTCCTTAAGAGGGGTGGGGGCTTGGCCATTGCTGGTCTGCTTTGGAAAATTGTTAGTTGCCCTGCTATATGCCTTTGAACCAAAAACCCAGAACAAGCAAATGAACATAAATCCATTTGGCTGTATTGGTGTAGGGTTTGATATCTCTTCTGTTCATTCCTGCCTGCATTCTTAGTGGGATTGTAGAATATTTGGAGAGATAATTTAAACCACTGACCCATTCAGCCTGTAGTGACTATGCTGGCAACAAACCGATTCCCTGCTGACATTCCAGACAGCATCGTACCCCTTTTCTTCCCCTCGTCCTGCCTGTTTGTTCAGATTGGGTTTTATGGAAATAAAGCAGATCCTGAGTAAATGGTGCCACACCCCTAGTTTGGTCAATAGAAAAAAAAAGTAGGGAATTGGGGCTTTTAAGGCACCAAAGTGACAAAACCAATGATTTTTGTTTTCTTGCGTGAACCCCCACCCTTAGACTTCCTGTGGCCCGAATAGAATGTCTGTGATCCCTGTTGTTGGTAAATTTGTGAGGAAAAGGATGAATAAGATGAAGAGTCAGAATCAAAACCTGTTTCCTTATTTGTGTTTTGAACAAAATTATGTTGTCTGTATTTAGTGTTAGGTCATTGGTTTTGTCACTTTGGTGCCTTTAAAAGCCCCAATTCCCTACTTTTTTTCAGATTGGGTTTTATGTAGTTTCAGTTACAGAGAGACATTCAGAAATTAAGCAGCTGCTGTACTCTCTTTAGACAACCTATAATGCTCTGTGACACCAGTGTTGTTGGTGAACCCTGTAATGTAAAATTAAGATTTTATATGAATAGTAAAAATATAAACATATCAGTTTAGAAACCTATAAATGTAAACAATAATAAAATTGGCCTGAACCCATTGTTTCTGTTTCCAACTGTCATTGTCAATTACCCTTCTTGCCATAATTCCTTCCAGCAGTTAATCTGTAGCTTGTTCCTAGACTTCCTCTCTCCTGTAGCAAACTCCTTTCTTTTACTTTAGTGCAGCACCCTGAACTGAGACTTTAGGCCTCAGAGCTTTTTTCCTTGTAGCAGTGGTTGTATAGTTCTGACAATTTTGAAATTGAGTGCGCTTGGAAAATTGGTTGGAATAAATTCAAAGTCTGTGTAATTGGGGCAGAGGTATTAAAGAGTGTGGAAACTAGTTTTTTTTTAAAGGTATTTTTAAGGCAAATGCAATAGAGAATCAAGGAGTCTAGCTGGTTGCTGTGTGCAGAAGAGATCACCTTCCCTCCTCCTCATTCTTTAGACCTTTATCATTTTCTTTTTAAAGTCGTCCTTTTTATTGAAGAGCCTTTATTGCAGAAGATTACCGAGTCTCTTTGTGTGGCTTTAAATGGTCTGGTTTTTAGCACATCAGCAGTCAGGATGAAAGTGGGCTACAGCTGAGCTATTTTATCAGGCATTAAATATTAAGAAGCCATTTTTGTTCCTCCTGACTTGTAAATGCCAAGTTACCAGTTAGTTCCAGCATGTGCACATTTATTTTACACATTAATTACACATTAAGACCTAACCTGTGTTCACTGTAAACCTGCTGACCTCATTTTATCCCTGAAAAGCAGAAACCAAGATGTGCCTATATGCACTTTGAGACCTTGTCGGGTGTCATGAGATTCCCTGAGGCCTGCATAGCTTCATTATGCTAATCTCAGCCTCAAACATCAATATTGGTCTATAGCTTTGATTGGCAACTTCACTGACTTGTATTAAGGTGCACTGCAGAAGGTGACAGTGATTGCCAGTGTCTCAGCTTCAAGAGCTTGAGATTTGCATATTGGGGCACCCCAAATTTGAGACTCCCAGGGTGACCTCTAAGATATTTCAAAGTACTTTCAGTCACGTTGGTAGGCTTAGAGTGATCACACATTTAACTTTCCTGCACTCACCAGGGTGCAAAGAAAATACCCTGTACTTTCAGGTAAGGAAGAGCATGTGATGCACTCCCCTTCCTCTTATGACAGCGGTGGAGCTTGTGATTGGCCCAGTATTGTCACATGGCAGCCTTTGAAAGGAACCTCAGCCGTGCGTAAGCGCCGGTGTCTTTGTAAAGCTGGCCATACACCTATAGATTATCTGCACTTTTTCCCATCTGACCATAGAAAATCTGCAACAGATTCCTCCATCTACGCTAAACTGTGTGGATGGAGGAATCTTCCACTGGGACAAGCTTCAGTATATTGCTAGTCAGCCCCGCTGGCTCTCAAAATACCTGAGCAATGCCTGCATCCAATCAGATTGTTTAGTGTAGGCTTAGAGTGATCACACATTTAACTTTCCTGCACTCACCAGGGTGCAAAGAAAATACCCTGTACTTTCAGGTAAGGAAGAGCATGTGATGCACTCCCCTTCCTCTTATGACAGCGGTGGAGCTTGTGATTGGCCCAGTATTGTCACATGGCAGCCTTTGAAAGGAACCTCAGCCGTGCGTAAGCGCCGGTGTCTTTGTAAAGCTGGCCATACACCTATAGATTATCTGCACTTTTTCCCATCTGACCATAGAAAATCTGCAACAGATTCCTCCATCTACGCTAAACTGTGTGGATGGAGGAATCTTCCACTGGGACAAGCTTCAGTATATTGCTAGTCAGCCCCGCTGGCTCTCAAAATACCTGAGCAATGCCTGCATCCAATCAGATTGTTTAGGTATTTTGACAGCCAGCGGGGCCGACTATCAAGATACTGAAGCTTGGCCCAGTGGGAGATTCCTCCATACACACAGTTTAGTGTAGATGGAGGAATCTGTTGCACTTTTTCCAACCGACCATAGAACAATCTGCAGATAATCTATAGGTGTATGGCCAGCTTAAGGATGCAAGCTCTTTGACTTTCTTCCCCTATCTTCCTCCCACTTAATAAGTCGTTGACCCAACAAGTATGTGTGTACCAGGCTTCTTAGTGCTTACTGCCAGCATGCTTGTTCTTGGGCATTCACTCACTATGGCACTGGTGCAGTGGCAAAACAATCACCATAGTGACCCAGGATGCCGCTATGGGGCCTGGGGCACAGGGGGGCCTGGCTAGGACATCCCCCTGATGCTGTGCGGGCCTCCTGGGTTGTTATGGTATTTCTGGCTGCTGGCTGACACTGGTGGCTGTGAGAAGGAACACGCCGCTGTTCAGATCACTGACAACCTGGCGCGTTCCTCCTCACAGCCGCTGCTGAGTCAGTGACAGCCAGCAGCTGCGGAGGAGGAAGCTGGGCCCGGCATCGGCAGCGAAGGAGGAGATGGGGCCAGGCAATGGAGGAGGCGGGGCACAGCGACAGAGGAAGCAGAGTGCGATCAGGGCTGACAGGTAAGAGGGTTTGACCAGCGCACCTGAGAACCGGCAGAGTCCACCATAGGGAGTCTATGGTGGGCTCTGCAGGGTCACACTCTGGTGGGCTGTTTTGGATATCAGGTGGGCGTAACTAGAAATCACAGGGCCCCATAACATTTTGCTATGGGGCCCTGTGATTTTCTAATTACGCCCCTGCATTGGTGATTGTGGTTTGTGCCAAACTAGCTAAAGAGTGTGCTCAAGCATAGCAACTGATTGGTCAGCTTGCCTAAACACCAGTTACCTTCCCTGCCGGCATAACCTGCATCAGGGAGGAATTTAATAGATTCAAGCAAAACACAACCACATAGGGTCTCGTTACCATTTTTTTGACGCCTCAGGGGAGTGTGGTGGCATGCGTGGACAGTGTAGGTCCACTTGAAACGTGTTGATAAGTGAAGAAACCCTGTAATTGAAAATCCGTCATAGAGCCACAAGTTACATGCCCAGTTTAGCACATAATAGTGAATTCAGATGAAGTAGGAGGGTTCGCCTGCAGTCATTCTGACCTATATCGGTGTTTTCCTGAAAATATATCCTCCTGCTGTTATAATAGTAGCGGTAATACGATGCACGCGGAGAACAGTGCTGTATAAATAGAACAGGTTGCTGGCTGCGGCCATGCTTCAAGGAACACAGTTTTTTCATATATTCCAAGACCAAAGAGATTTTCTGCCTAATTAGTCTAAATGTATTAATCTTCTGCCCTTTCCTTGCACTGTGCTTCCTCTGGGGAGTTCCCAATGTGCCTCATTTTTATTCCTATTCTTGCAGCTAAGACGGACCAGCATTTCAAAGCGTTTCTAGACGCCCAGAACCCTAAGCAGCAGCACTCTTCAACCCTGGAGTCTTACCTGATCAAACCCATCCAGCGCATTCTCAAGTACCCTTCGTATGTTTTTGCTCCACTTTCCTATTACATTTTTAAAATCAGAAATAAACATCGAAGGCTTCCTGCCCACCAACAAGCAGAAAGACCTTCACTAAACTTATAGCGTGGCTTTGAACATTCCAGTTGTTGCAAATTCTTAAGAAGCAGTAAATTGAGCTGCAAGCACTGTGGAGCAATTTTATCCTCAAGAAGTGTTGCAGTTGTTCTAGTCCAGGGGTCTCAAAGTACCGACCCAGGTGCCGAGTGGCCCGCAGCCAGCTGACAAGTCGGGCACATGGTCACGGTCCGCGTGCCTGACTTGCGGGAGCAGCTACACAGTCTCCATCTCTGACAAATGCAGACCGCAAAACTGCTCCTGTCAGCTCCGGCCGGAGCTCTGACAGTTCTGAGCTTCGGCCGAACGATGATTAGTAAGGTCTAGTGCAGACCTTACTAATCGCCACTAGATCACCAGGGAATGATGTGCCTCCTCCCTGCAAAGTTTGCTAGCAAGTGAGAGGGCTTGGAAGGAAAGGAGGGAGGGGGGGCTTTATTAACTGGGGGCTT